TCTGAAAAATCAAACAAACGGATGCTATTCCTTTCGATCCTGTCACTTCATTGCTGAAAGTGTAACTTTAAGGGTGAGCCAAACACGCTTTGAAAATAGGAACTTCATGCATCGTTGAGAAGCGTAGAGTGTAACGGGCTGGCGCCTTCACCCTGTACCTCCGTAAAGGGGAGTGGGAGGATCTTGTTGGCTGGACGATGCGCGTCTCCTGTGGAGGGTCCTGTCTTCGCGATGAGTAAGGAAGGGGGTGCGTGTGCACAGTGGACGTAGAGACCGTGGATAAAACATGCGTGTTCCTTGCATGGGATATGTAACGTTGCCTCAAGTTTCTGATCAAACATGTTCCACACCACTGCCCTCTTCTGTCTGGAGAACTGACCTTCCTTTCTGCTTTAAGGTAGGAGAAGGTTAATGACGACCTTCATATGTAGAGCTCTCCTGCCAAGTCAGCTGGTAACTGCTCATCAGTTTGAAATGCTAACATTTCTACTCTTTTGCATTGAAAATGGTGCTTCCATTTTTTAAAAAATATATTTTTTATTGATTTCAGAGAGGAAGGGAGAGGGAGAGAGAGAGAGAAACATCAGTGATGAGAGAGAATCAGGGGTCAGCGGCCTCCTGCCTGCCCCCTGCTGGGGGGTGAGCCTGTTACCTGGGCAGGTGCCCTGACTGGGAAATGAACTTTGATCTCCTGAGAAACATCCATGATGAGAGAGAATCATGGATCGGCTGCCTCCTGCACGCCCCCCACTGGGGATGGAGCCCCCAACCCGGGCCTGTGCCCTGAGTGGGAATCGAACCCTAACCTACTGGGTCCTAGGTCACACTCAACCACTGAGCCCCGCCGGCCGGGCCAAGCAGGTCCTTCCTGCCTCTTCCCTGGTGGGTCCGGCCGGGCCCTGGGCTCCTGCGGCTGAGCTGGGAAGGCCTTCCCGTCCTCACCCGTGGGCAGGGCAGACCCCACCATGTGGTTTTAGGAGGAAAACGGGGGCTCGCACCGGGTCTGTTGTCCTGGGCAGCACCTGGCCCGGGGCTGGGCAGCCAGTGAGGGCGGGAGGACGTGTGGAGGGATGGACGGGGAGGATGGCTGGCATCGCAGCAGCTGTACGGTGGAGGGAAGCGGTCGCTGAGAGACGGGGCTCTGAGTGGGTCCCCTGGTTGGCGCCGGCGCTGGTCGTGGTCTGGGGCCAAAGGGGCATGTCTGCGCGCCCTGGGCGCCCCTTCTCACCGAGTGGGCATCAGGTGGGGAGGGTTGTCGTTGGAGGGACACGGGGTGAGCCTCCTGGAGTGAGTGTGTGGGCCGAGCTGCTTCTCATCTCATGGATGCTGCCTGGCCCTGTGTGTGGCCTCTGCCTCCTGAAGCCCCTGGGAGTCCCCCCCGGAGCCTCTCCTCCCCCAGGGCCGCCTGTGCCCACACACAGCCCGTCCCAGCAGCCTGCTGAGACCAGTTCTCTATAGGTTCTCCTCTCTCATCCCCGGGGGGGCGGTGTCCTCCTAGTTTTGCCTGCCCTTCCGAGATGCAGGGGTGTGGCCCTGGGTGGGGAGGGGGTGCCCCATGCTCCATGAGCCCCCGGGGCCCTGGGCAGGTCCTGGGCAGTGCAGGGTCATGGCCAGGCCGCTCTGTCTCCACAGCTGGGGCTGCCCGAAGCGGAACTACACCTTCAACGAGTCCTCCCCCGAGATCAACTGGTGAGTGCACGCCCCTCCCTGGGGGCCCGGGAGCCCGAGGCTTCCGTGGCCCAGGCTGCCGACGGTGCTCAGCTCAGCTTGGGGGCCCCTGGGTCCCCTGAGCCTGGGCCAGCGTGTGGTGGGCAGCACTGAGGTGTCCCTGAAGGGCACCCCGAGGGCTCCAGGAGCAATTGGAGAGCCAGGGGTCACCACAGAGGCCCCGCCCGCCTCTGAGCCACTGGAGGATGGTGGGGGCCGAGGGGGGAGACACTGTGGGCGATGATGCTCTGAGCCAGGGGAGCAGGCAGTGCCAGGTGGTCCCTGAGGGGCCGGGGCACCTGCTGGGAGACAGGCCGTGTCTGGGGCATGGCCACCTCGAGTCGGGCCTCCTCCCTGCCGTCCTCCCTGATGAGGGCTCAGCCCTCGGCCTCCAGCCTCATGGGGCGCCCGGTTCTTCCACCCCCACGGCCGCCAGTGTCTCGCGAGAACCCCTCCCGTGTCACCTGACCTCGCAGTGGTCCTGCAGGCTGTGCATGCGAAGGGCCCGTCACAGGACCGGGGAGAGGAAGATGGGCCCGCAGGCCACCTGGGCCCTCAGAGCTGCAGCCCGGCCCCCCGCCCCCCGGCAGGCGGGCAGCCCTGGCCCCGGCCTTGGCACCTGCCTGGAGGCCTCCTTCCCGGAGCCTCCCTTCCCTCGAGGGCCAGGCTGGACGCCCCCCCAGGTCACCTCTCTCT